TTTAACTTACCTTTGAAGTCATATTTACTATATTGCACTCAACCCAAGACACAGATTACAAGTCACAAAATTACCAATAGATATAACATACACGAACGCCTTTAGAACGAGTTTAGATGGTGTGAATACTTTGGGATGGTAACAAAGTTGTCGCCTCGTCTATTGAGACTCATATGCCCGTTTTCACTAAATTTAGTAGTAGCCCAAATCTGTCGCCTAAATATTCAAGAATTGCCTAAGGTGAAAATACCTTTCATCAATAACTAGGAACCAACAAACGAGATTAGGCACTGTCTGGAGTTATGGCGTTACTTACGCTAAGTATTTAATATGACAAGTCACAATTGTGTCATAGGATAAAAGAAAAAAATGAAATTCTACGAGTATTTGGAATTAAATTACACCCATTTTCACTAACCTAGAACAAGGCATAGCTTAACTAGAAAACGCCTTGTATTACGAGTTACCTAAGCAGATTAGTTGGATTCCAAATAAATATTAATTCTTTTATCCCTTTACATATTTATGACCTGTCATATACGCAAATGCATGGCGCAAGGAGCCCCACAATGAATATCATAACTTTGGACATTGCTAAATTTCCACCATTGACTAGGGAACACCTAATTTCCTAGACAATAGTCGAGTGAATTTTTACGTTAGGCGATTCGTAAGATTAGGCATTTCCTAGTTAAGCTATTCCTTATTCTAGGTTAGTGAAAACGGGTGTTAATATTTTCCAGACTACTTATGGCAAAACATTTTTGAAACCACATAATGGATTAGTGGATCAATTTTAAGAAGGAAGAAGGAAGGATTTAGCTGAATATATCTACTAAGTCCTTCTTAATATTCAAAATAAATACATAGTTATAATTTATAAGTAAATGAAATTCTAATACAGTCAGTCAAAAGTTATGGAAATGTGTAGATACATGAGTGAGATAATTAAAATAAATTCTAACCTGATTGCTAAAGCGTTTTATTGTGACTCTCAGAGTAAGAATTCCGTAGACGCGGCAGGCAGACCAGACAAAATATTAAAAAAGAAGTCTGGTATGGACTCTACTCCTATTTAATAAACTACAAGATTAACAAAAACAGTAATACAAGTGAGTTTAATGAAAAAGGTGTAATTAGCCTTACCATAGGACTAGCATTAATATATAGAAGTTTTATCATTACTTTGTCCTGATGGAGAGATAATTAGGCTATATTATTTAGATGGTAAGTTGTTCGGTGTCGGCAGGAAGGGGGCGGGGTTGTAGAACCAGTCCGGCGGGGATGCGACCATCGGACGCCCTTCGTACTCTAACCACACGACCCGCGAAGCCTTGTGATGTATTATTGTAATTTTATTCAAACCTTATTCGAAATATTATATTGATTTTTTTCTAATCTGGCATTGTGTAAATTTATTTTAACGTTTTTTTTATTTACACGTCACACAAAAATGGAGTACTAAACAAATGTACTTAAGCTTCGTTCCTTTTCGGAATAGGTTAAACAAATAGTAAAGGGTTACTTAATTGATATAGCTTTGTTATTATTTTAATTACAAGCAAATAAATCATTGCTCGATACTGTGCTATTATATTTATGACTTGTCTGTTTTTATAGAAACGGAGATGTTTAACATTTTAATGTTACTTTGAGGTTTTTGAAGACGAGCTTTTATTATTTATTAAAAATTATAAAAAAAATATATCAAACTTTTTCTCAAGAACGATGGTTATTTATTTAAGAATGCTCATAGTTTCTAGTTACTAGAAACTAAAAGTAGCTGAGCATTCTTAAAGAAATTCTTAATGCAGGTTTACCTACTAGAATCTAGTAGGTAAACTTGCATAGATTCATATCATATAAAACCTTTTATATAAGTGCCTATTTGAATCTCAAATGTGTAGCTAAAACTAGCGAAGGGACATTATTCGAATCCCGTGACAGTACCACGTGCAGTACTCAGATGGTAACTAATTACAGCTATCATAACATTTCCCCTTGAAGTATTCATGCACTTGCAGCAGTGCGAGCCGAAATTTCCCATCACATGTTACACAGACTTCCTCGTAAACCAAGCTGCGACCGATAAATTCTAATTACACCCTTTTGTAATAGTAGCTTTTAAATCTGATATCGAACGTACTACTTTTCGGCAAACCATAGCGAATTAAACGTAATAGGTGTACGTTCTCTTTGTTTCTTAATAGCTGCATTACCACAGACAATTTAAAAGCAAATCTCTTTATAGGCACTACACTAAACAGCTGACTCTAAATTTACATTTCAAATATGGAATGCAGTAAGAAAATACCTGTCTACGCCAGACAGTGCACTCGAGGAAGGGTAACGCATTCCCATAGCGTCGTGCGTCAAACGTTAATAATTTTAAAAAGGGTTGATGGAAAAAAGTTAATTCGAAATGACACCGCACATGTGGAGTCGTCCGGGCGGAGATATAAGATTTAACCCGTACATACACGTCATTAATGCTGTCAAGAACGCCAGCCGATTTCCTCCCGTATTATTTTATCTTGGGATTATAAACAGATGTTGATCGATAATAAATCTTTGTCTGTAAAAGACTTGTGTGATACTTTCATAAAATTCGATGATGCATAATGATATGACAATACTACTGCCCCAATATTACGAGGAAGGAAATTTTATAAATTGTAACTATAGTACCTACTTATGTTAAATAGAAAATTTATTTATGTTATATATTTTTCTTTGCTAGTTTTTACAATACATTAATATAAAAAATGACCTTACGTCCAGCTAAAATTAAAAAAACCTATAGGTAAGTAAATTATTAAAAAGATGATAAATCTCAAGCCATAAAACTATTACCGGTATAATATTAATACCTCTACTTATAATAATTATGTTATTCCATACGAAGCCTTAAAGAGATAATCGAAACTGATGGTTAATCTAACAGTGAAGAATCGAGATAGTTTAAATTTAATTGGTTTACTTTAGTGGTGTGGCCCGGTCACGATCGATAGACGCCGGTAGATCGTGACAGATAAACCGAATAGTGAGATATTATCGATGCTACGCCCATCCCTAGCGTTATTGACGGTACGCCGCAATGACTGATGGACGCCATTTTGAATTCCGTTAAAGAGTTTTAAATATTAATACGTATGGATAGCGCCAGATTGATAAGATAGTGAAATTGAAAGGTTATATGATAAGTCTTTGATGCCAAGTTTATGTGTCTGTACAAGAAAAGAAAGTAGTGAAAAAAATCCCGAATCATTCTTTCCTTAGCGAGAATAATGTACTGTTTTATCAGGAAAGCTAATGAGAGTTTGACCTTAAACAGGAAAAAAAATATACACCGCTTATGATCACGTAATCACCTAACTACACTTGGAGGACTACACTTGACCAATTACTGTCTATGTACTCTACAGTTGATTTACTACATTTTAATATCAACTTTCTAATATTTAAATATTAATACATTTTTATTTAATTTTTATAAATGTTTATGAAAACCTTTTAAATGTGAAAACATACCTTTAAGGAAAATCTCTCTCCATTTATTTTACCTGTATTGGACATATGATTACCAGTTTCCTCCAGTGTGATCTACAGACTAGCTCACTTTACTGAAGATGATTAAAATAAAACAATCGCTGCTGCAGTAACATTTTTTATTTGCAGAAGATATAATCGATGAAATGGCTAGTCGCCACGTCACTTCAGATTTTTAAGCTGATTTAACGATATACCTGCAGTAACTATTTACTATTCTGTTGTAATAAGAAAAACACCCCAGACTCAATAGACGATAGAAGTTTAATAAAACCTACTTGGAAGGTAATAAAGGCTTTATTTCATTTCATTACATCATTTTGAGGCTGTTTTTATCATAATAGCATAGCTGGGTCTGGACTTGGTTAAAGCAGACTATAGAAATAAGGTATCAGTTCATTAACTCGATAAATATGTAACAATTGTATTCAAAAGGTACCGCACTATTATAACTTCAGTTCAAGTTGCCATGAACCTAACATACTTTTAAAACCAATATAAAAATAATTAGTAACAAACAAGAACTTTGAAACTCGATCTTTCTCCATTATTTTTTTATTATACTCAGCACGTACGTGAGCATGACAAATGACGTCATATTTTTTCATAAAACCTCGCACCTCGGTACTTAGTAATGGACCTTGATTGATTTACAACGTAAAGCACAATCTGATTGTTTATACCGATAAACAAATTAATGTCATCGCAAGTAGACATAATGCCTACCTAATTTAATTGTTTCGGAGATCAACCAGTTAGATTAACGATGGTGAGAACGATGATAGAACTAATTAATTAAAAATTCCGGTAGTGCTTTGTCAATTAATTAATATAAGACATTTAATTAAAATAGTATCTATTAGAAAAAAAGCGATAAATAACCGCTTTTTTTTTTCAAATAGATACTATATGTAGTAGAAAAGAAAGTGATTAGTTAGGTATACTTCTTAGGGTTAAGGCACATGAAAATTAACTATTATTAAACCTTGTTACTCCACTATATTTGCATATTTACTTTATAACTTTAAGTAAATCCATTCATTAGTATTACAAAGGATATCAATAGATGAATGGATGAGTTCAGTGGATCCTGGAGATCCCTGAACCTTTAGAATGAAGGTTGGAAAACGAGAGGATGCGAGAAAACATGGAATGTATGAACGATAGTATAAATGTGATATGTGCAAGTAAAGAACAATGGAAGACAAGGATCAAAGTTAAAATTATATTAATTCAAAATGGTATTAACCTTTTTTTAATAAATGAACAATATTCTTGAGATAGGACCCATCTCAGATTACCAGGGACAAAGTGGATTTCTTTAAGTAATTTTCAGTAAGAATATTTTCAGTATAGCATTGTGAACGCAACATTCTATAAATTGCCCCATTTTATGCACTTTCTTATAAACATAAAAACATAAAAAACATAAAATAAAAAAGGTAAATAAAATGACACCAGTGAAGTCTTCCTTATCAATCTCTAGTTTAGCATTAGAAAGAAATGACAGTACTTACTTACAGTATCTAAAAATAATAAAAAAATGTCGTGGTCGCCAGGATTAATTTCAAGGAAGTCTGTATCTATACCACGATGAGACTCTCTTGCAAAAGTGTAAATAATTACTTATTTAATGCTATAATTTCAATGAAGATAAATTTGACTTAGTTTAGTTTTCACTATTACTGAAACTATATAAAAAAAACTCTAAAACGACTCCATCTTAGGGGTGCAAGTTTTCATTAGGACCGCCATAACCAATTCTTATCACGACGTAACCTAAACTAAATTATAAAGAGGAAAATTTTGTTTGTTTGTTTGCTTTGGTCCATTTGGCTCCAAAACCACTGAATTGATATTAAAAGCTATATCATACGCAAGTGACATAGGCTATAACTTACACGGGCCAAGTCGCATGAAAACAATCAACATCAATTTTGCTTGTTACATATACAGTAAGAACATTGTGAAAGCCCTTTTAAAAGTTGCCGTAACTTGATATGTGCGCGAGCACTGTCAAAATGTCTATCGGGAACCAACCACAATAATACACTCTACACGTGTTCTACAAGGTTCACTAACGATTCACTGATAAATATAAAATCAAAAATACCCTGAAAGTATGTAGCTAAAAAAGTGAAATTGAATTAAAACTCTAACCAAGAACATTTATTAACAAGCACATTTGAACCGATAAATATTTACGTATACTTACATAAGTTATAATTACTTACCTATTCTATTCCATATCCTATCCACATATAATCAGATCTTTCCTCCTTATGACTATACTATACGTAGGTACTAATTTTAATTTGTTTAAATGTAATTATTATATTTCGATATACCTAGGTAATTCATTTTATTTTGTGCTCATAGACAATTCATTTAGCGAGTAAATAACTGTAACGATAATTTATATTAGTTAGATTAAACATTAACCTATGCTAATCACAAAAAATAATTCTATAAAATATTAATAAAACGAAAACCTAATTTCATATCAAATTAATGAACATAATAAATCTTATATAAACAAGTATAAGAAAATAATAATTGAAAGAAAGTCATGTGTATTAGATTCGGAAGTTGAACTATCTTTTCATTTTTATCTCTATAAATAAATCCACGATAAGTTATTCGAGTGAATGACAGATGACTTTCAAAATCACCTCTCACTGCCACTGCCACTGGGCAGGCACGACGGCTTCTGATGAATCTGTGACACCATTAACACCGCACCATTTTAGAGAACACTTGTTAATTGATATGCTGAAAGAAATCTTACTATTTTATTTTAAAAAATCTCTAGTATACTATATTTTTTATAAATAACTATTAGTTCCCCGTGGCTTCGCCCGCGTAAATTATAGCTTATGTCACCCGCGTATGATATGATGAAGCTTCCCGTAGGTGAAAAAAATTTCTTGATCGGATCAGTATCAAACAAACAAAATTAGAAACTTAACTTCTTTAATAAGCATAGATTAAAGCTTTATACTTTATTTGTAGGAACAATATGAAGATATTTCATCAATTTTGCATTCACAATGCTATACTGAATAATATTCTTAATGAAAATGCTTAATAAAATCCACTTTGTCCCTGGCACTGATATGGGGCTTGAACCTTTAGCAATCCGACTACTCTAGCCACTGAGCTACCCATGACTAATTTATTAATATCAATTCATAGACAAATTATCATTTCCATAACAGCGACTTCAGATAAGATTATATTAAGCGACGAATGCTCTTTTACTTCAATAGTGACACCACACTTGGCTATTTGCAAGAAGTTTATGCTATTTATTTTCTTTTTTGTGTATTTGATATATTGGACAAGTAATGGTCATGTTTTAGGTTGTTAGTATGGTTGTCAACTGTTCTCATAAATAGAATTGTACCCTATATCATGTAAGTGTACTCTATAATCTATAGCACTAACACCCGTATATAATCGAGTAAAACTTATTATTTAAATAAAAGTTATTTATTACTTAAACAAATATTTTTAACAAACAAGCAAGAATTTGAATGAAGTGGAAACTGTTAATAGTAAGGATACTATTATTATTAGCTATTACATAGATCTTATTTCATTAAATTCTCATCTATTGGTTAAAAATATCTCCTCAAATAATGCTATTTTCTCAAATAATCGCTTCTCTCGACCATACTAGTACCAGCAGATATGATGGATACCTGTTTTCGTACACAAAAAAATAACAAAAAATACTTCTTTAAAAATGTTAAGTATATGATACTCTATTTACATAAAACCATACTCTTTATTAATCTCCTTTAAAATCAAATATACTCTATTTGTTCTAATAGAAGTTGGCAACCCTAGTCATCGGTATAAATCTGACGGAAAATCCTATATACATGACAAAACATTGGTTGTTTTTAATTTGCCTATTGGCCAAATGGGACCAAAAAAACACGTATTAGCTAATAAGAATAACCGAAGTGAAGTGCTACATCATAAATTATTCAAGTAAATATATATTTACTTCTAGTTATACTGGTAAAATAAATTATAATTTATACCCTCGCGTAAATTACTGATATGCAAAAATATAAAAAAAAACAGCCGTTTAGTGTAATAAAAAGACTGAAACTCAAATTTCTGTTAAAATATTTTAAATACTTCATCAAAATAATAGCTACTTTTATCAAAGCTTAATTTTGAATGAATGCAAGTTTCATTGAAAATCTTGGAACAATTTTAAATGACTCCAATATTGTTATCATAAATTCATATATCAAATAAATAACATATTAAGAATGCGTCCAACAATTTCAAATTGGAGTGTGAATTATAAATCGCTTGCATTTCCTTCTAAAACTTAATAACAACGACTAATGGTCATATTTTCAACTACACAAAAAAGTGTTTTAAGAAAATTATACAATACACAAGTAATTTATAAAAATATGAGACGCATAATAAAAGCTCGACTAATCAACTTTACTGACTCGTCTTGTTTTTATTTTCAGATACGACAGCACCATACGTGTTGTACAAAGATGGCGTTGAACGCGCCCCACCTGGTACTCAATGGGGCGGAGTCCTGGACGGCGGCTACCAGCCAATGCAGCACCAAAGCCCTGGCGGGCCCTCGCCTCAACCAGAACCACAGCTCGCCTCCCCCGCGCCTTCACCTTACCCGCCCGCGCCACCACCCCCCGACCAAACAGAAGACCCCACACACCATCTCGCACAACAGGCACAGCAACAACAACAGCAGCAGCAACAACAACAAACATCCCCCGAACATATGCAAGTCGAGCAACAACTCCAAACGCAACCTGTCAACACGCAACCGAACCAGGAACACCTCGACAGAACACCATGCTTCGTTCCTCAACCAGACCTACAACAACAATATGCCACGCCGTATTTCAAAGAAACTAGACCTGCTAGCCATATGCTTGGTACTGGAGGCTTTCCTTTGCATTATCTCAAACAGAACGGTGGAGTACTATCTCTCGAAGGACCACTGGACCAATACTCGGCGCCAGACTTACGACACCTACCCGATATTGTTCAACCGGAACCACCGAAACCTCGGAAACACAACCCTAATTCTGAGCTTCGGCTTTTCAAATGTCTCACGTGTGGGAAAGACTTCAAGCAGAAGTCTACGTTGCTACAGCACGAGCGCATCCACACGGACTCTCGGCCCTACGGTTGTCCGGAATGCGGCAAGCGGTTTCGGCAGCAGTCGCACCTGACCCAACATCTTCGGATCCACGCGAACGAGAAGCCCTACGCGTGCGTGTACTGCCCCAGGTCGTTCCGGCAGCGCGCGATCCTCAACCAGCATCTCCGCATCCATTCCGGTGAGAAGCCATATACGTGCGGCGAGTGCGGCAAACATTTCCGCCAGAAGGCCATCCTGAACCAGCACGTCCGCACACACCAAGGCGAGCGCAATTCACACATATATGCCCCTCCCTCCCCGCGCGCGTCGCCCGCACTGACAACAGTCATTGCCGGCGCCGCCTGCGATCCCCGCCGCTCCCCACACGTTCGATTCGGTCTCGCATCCATTGGCCTTCCTATCAAACAAATTATCGGTCCCCTCGTCGCCCGCATTATGCAGGGTGCTCGCGAGACGCGGAACCGATCGCCGGACGATCCCGTAACCGTCCTCAGTTCGATTAACCCACTCGTCGGCGACCCCACACTCGACAAGTTCGACACTTGACTCACCGAAGTATTCCATTTTTGCAGATGTATCGCCGCATCTGATTTTCAAGAACGGAACAACGCCCACGCTGTGGCCCCAAGACGTGCCATTCCCCGCCGACGAAAATAAAGAGGAAGTGCAGTCGACGTTCGGCGATGCTGACGGTCAGAACGGGGAGCAACGCGGCTCCTGCTTTTCACCGGGAGACACGGCCCAGTATCCCGCCTATTTTAAGGACACCAAAGGACTCAATCATACAGTTTTCGGCTCCGGTCTCTCTCTACAATATTTGAAAGGAGGTAAACTGCCAGACGTTCTCGGCGGCCGAGCTATGCCCCTGTATGTACGATGCCCCATCTGTCAAAAAGAGTTCAAGCAGAAATCGACTCTCCTCCAACACGGCTGCATTCATATTGAATCGCGACCGTACCCGTGTCCGGAGTGCGGCAAGCGTTTCCGGCAACAGTCGCATCTAACACAACATCTCCGCATCCATACAAATGAGAAACCGTACGGGTGCGTATACTGCCCGCGATTCTTCCGACAACGGACGATCCTGAACCAGCATCTCCGTATCCATACCGGAGAGAAGCCTTATAAATGCACTCAATGCGGCAAAGACTTCAGACAGAAAGCGATTTTAGATCAGCACACGCGAACACACCAAGGGGACCGACCGTTCTGCTGCCCGATGCCGAATTGCAGGCGGCGATTCGCGACTGAGCCAGAGGTGAAGAAGCACATCGACAACCACATGAATCCACATGCAGCCAAAGTGAGACGGGCGGATGCCAACAAAACGCCGCGGCCGCTGCCACCGGCAGCGGCGGTTGTGAAGCCGGAGTTGTACTTCCCGCAGTGTTATGCGCCGCCGTTCCAGCAGTTCCCGTCGGGCGGAGAGTTTAAGCCAGCGGTGGGTCCAGGGGCGCCGGTGACGTGCCTGCCGGCGCAGTGACCCGCGCCGCCGCCGCGGTGGCACCCGGCGCCCCCGCCCCCGCATCACCACGACCTCTATGCTGCCGACCGCCTCTACTGAGCCCCGGCCTCACGTCAAAGTGCGGGCGCGTGCGCGGCGCCTTCTCAGTATACGACTCGCGATGCGAGCTACCAATTAGGAATCGGATCGCTGTAAAATGAGCTTCGGTCTGTAAATAACGTTGTTCAATCGCGAATGTACAGTTCAAATGTTCTCCACGAATAGTGTTACCGTTAAAAAAGCGAGTAAAGATAACCTCTTTTGCCCCGTAATATTAAGTTACCAAGTAAGAATTAGGTTTCTCAATTGTTCTCGTCTGGTCGAAATTTTCTTTTTATAAAATCTAACCAGAGATTAAAATTTTAAAAGCTCTACGATGAAATCTAAAATTAAGAATTGATCTTTTACCAGGTAAAACAATATTTCGCGATGAATGATTCTGGCACGTCATTGTGCCTGTTTGTAATAAATATACATATTTTGTAGATATATTAAGTTAATTTTATTTACGAGTATTAAGGGATAAAATCTGGCAAGAAGGTAAACGAATTTAAAGACGCTCAAAATATCTTTAGAAAGTAATGGTAAAGAATTTAAACGGTAACTTTAGGTCCAAATTAGATATTTTTCGGTGAAGTAAGTCAGGACATTGACGAAACAGAGCGACGGTTGTTAACCAAAAACTACTTAGGTTACCTTTTGCCATCTAATACTATTTTTTTTTTTATACTTACTGATGTTCAGTTAGTTACGTGAAAGTATTTGTATTACCGAATCGACTTTTAACAGTGTAGGTGCCAAATAGTGTAGTGTTTTTTCAAATTTTTTCTACCAGTTTCTACAGTAGTTGGCCTAGTTAGGTTGTTACCAGTTTTTTCAACGATGTGACAATGTGAAATGCATTTATGAGGAAAGGGTCAGACTGAGAAAGGACTGTGATAGTAAGCTAGGTTAGGTAATCGCTCACTTAGCGTTAAAAATCTTTGTATAAGTGACAGGAACTTATTTCATTAAAAAAAATAAAAATACTTATAAAAACGTGTCTGTCACATTTTTCATTAATTATCTTTTTTATAAACTTGCTTATTCAATACTCTCGAAATTGCCAAAACACAACATCAAAAATGATGTTTTTATGTTCCTGTATTATTGAAATTTTCGCATTTATTTTTAGGGTTGTTTACTTGCCTTAACGTTTATTGACTGATTTTTAATAAATTTATGGAAAGAGTGAGATTAGTGAAATTACCATTAAGGGAACGTGTGATGTCGCAAAGTGCTTTGTCGTGTAGTTTGATCGAGGATTGAGATATGCCAGAGTAATCTTCTAATTTAGCTTAGACTATATCGGACTCTCGAATTACCAAGCAATTCGACCATTCATCGCGAAATAACATTAGATTTAGGGAAATAAAGATATATTATGAATTTTGAAGCGTCCGTTGGGGCACGCTGGCGTTGATAAAGTCCTTTTTGTCGTCCAGTTTAGAAATTAGTGACACAGAATGATGTGAAGTTAAGAGCGTTACAGAGAGAGATATATAAAATATATCTTCTCCGACGAGTCTTCAACGACTTTCATGTCATCCGAAGCGCTCAGCAGTCTCACAGACTATAAACTTATGACTAGTACAACGCCCGTGTATCCCAACTTGATATTACCGTTTTTATCGTCTCTGTTTGTATCATAGAGAACATAGCTTATTTTTACGATATTATTGTGATGGTTTCGTTTTCCTACCGCATAAAAACTGTTACTATATATTAATATAGATGTAATAGTACATAAATTGAATTTGTGGGAGTCACATAACACTTTACCATTAATTTATCACTTTGAAAGTGAATGCAATATTATGTTTATGAAGTTGATTAAGCGAATTTTATCATTGGGCAGTTTATGAAAATTATGTGCGGAAACGCGTTGGAGCCAAAGACGCCATATTGGATCCAACGCGGGGCCGTTTTCCGGCAGCGCAAGCGCACATATTGTTTTCCGATTGATTTTCCTGTCAAACTTTTGGAGGTTTACAAATGACAAAAAAACATCATTATCGAAGAAAATTAAAAGCAATATTATCTTCCGTGACTGAAGTTTCCACAATTTTCAAAACATGTGATCCTCCGGTGGTCGCGCGCGCCGCTCTTGTCCAGCGCAATTTACATATACAATTGAGTTCCCTTTATAGTTTAATGATAATGACCCTACAATAAACAGCCTTACACAATAATAGTTAATAAGTATTTTTATACAGAAACAGGTACATAAATATACAATTAAGACAGGAGCGGCGCGACTGACCTTGTTACAAAGTTTGAATACAAACACAACATAGTGCCATAGACATGATATAACCTCAGATTTATACTTATTAGATTTTATACCGATACAAATGGATTTAATTTTTAAATATAAACAAAGGTGATTAAGTATACAGAGATTACAGATGATATTTTATACATTTATTACAAACAATATTATTAAAAAATCGTAAATGTGAAATAGTCTTAAAGTTAGTGTTGTACCTACTGCAACGTGCTAAGTACCTATATACTATATGAATAAACATTCTTTAATTGAAAGTCGTGGGAAATTGATGAGAAATCCATTAATTTTTCACTTCTTGTGTAACACACCTATAAGTATCAGATTGTTTGATATTATAGAAAACAATAATTAATTTCCAAAAATATGGCACCACAGCAAACAAATTAACACCAATATATAGCGGGAGAACGCATACAGCAAATTATAATCGTTTATTATTTTTTTTGCCAAAAAATCATTCTTTTAGTAATAATCAAACGACTAGATGAAAAAGGATGCTATTTTCAGAATATTCCGATATTTATCTAGTAAATTAGGAAATATTTCGTAACGCATACATGTCACATCACGACAAACACAGACTTATACCTTCGTGGTGAATTTCATAAAAGAATAATAGAAAAGTTAACAGTCATGCTTTTACTGAATTAAGCAATTTATAATAAAATGCCAATTTGTTGAATAACAATTGTCATAAACAATATTTATAAGTAGATAGTCTGTGGTGCTCTACACGGTTTATTGCAAACGGTCAATCTGAGTTGAATTTATTTAATGAATTTCCATTATATTTTAATGTAAATACATATCAAAAAAAATCCGGGCAGTGTTGCAAAGCATATTACAAATAACCATATTTATTCTTCCGGTGAATAAAAATTTTGACATTTTAAATCTATCTTAATGATCAGATTTCTAGTTTGGGCATTTAAAAGACCAATTTTTATCATCAAAATTGTTGTTACTCTTGTTAATGGTAAGGTAATAAAAAATTCGGCCAAGACTTTAAAAGAATATTGATTAAATGTCCATACTACGAAAGCTCAATAAATTCTGGGTAAATAGTTAATAAGTTATCCAGACTTTGTTTTAGGATTCCAATTTTGCTATAGGTAATGTTTTGATTGCTCATAATTTTGTTAAGTTTTGCTCAAATAATATTGTATGTATGTCATTTAACTTTACATTAGTTTAACGATTCTGTAAATGGATGAGTATTTAGAGCACGGTTTGCTTTTCCGAGTTATAGTATTTGTTACTTTTGTGCATTCTTATTTTTGTATGTATGGCATGGCCTGTAACGCGTACATTTGCCGATATAATCTTGCCGTCCAAGTGAATTCAAGATGCATCACCGGTTTTCATTTTGCATTTTAATGAATACATCTAATCATGTTCCTAGCTATTAACATTTCAATTAATAATTTGCGTATCACTGAAAATGATTCTACTACTTGTGTAGATACTTTTTTTTTGTGCAATGTTCTAGACTGTCTAATTATATATACACCGTGTATTTTTATTAGGTTGTTTGAGAATAAAAAAATTCATTTTGTAATATAATTACTATAATTTTTAATTCCGGTCATATTAAGCACAGGTTCATGGGACTTACAATAAGCCCTATCCTGTACCTAAATGTAAAATGTCACTTGTATTTCGTCCTTGATGTACATCATAGTCGGTCATATGTTCGGTGTTAAGGTGCATTCATCAATAAGTATAAAAAAAGAGCAATAATTTCATCGCGCTTATCACAAGTTTTTATTGCAAACTTTTTCAGCGAATATGTTGATGATATTCGATAATCAAAGAGATATTGTTTCGAGTCTATGAAAACTTATCAACATACTAAATGAATCAAACCTTATCACAAGAATCGCTAAATGTGCGCTTAATTATGCGTTATGGTCAGTTCGGTGTGTAAAATATTATTTAGCCTTTAATAATTCACGGTGTACTTATAATATTAAAACTTTTTATTGTTTCGCAAACGTTTGATAACGATACTTTATTTGGTCATACAAAAGGATGTTGTCCGTTATGTTGTTATTGTAATAGATATGGTAATGTAGTTTCAAAATAGATTCAGATAAAACAGAACTATCAAACTAAAAGAGCTTTTTTACAAAGGGCCTACACGAGATAGCGGAATTTTTATGACTCTTTGACCCGCAATATAGAATTTATTCGTTTTTGCGGTCACTACATGTAATCTCATTTTATAGACAAACTTTTTCACATATTGCTACTATGTGTATATAAAACTTTATTTTTGTTTCTCATTTAAAATGGTTTGAGGTTCGACGACAAAGAATTCGGTTTTTTCCGGTAGAGATTTTTATTATTCTAGAAACGACCATTCTACAAAATATCCGCAGGCTTCAATTTTGATGATCAATGGCATGGACATCCACGTGCAGCGTGCGGGCGAATTCAGTTCCTCGGTTTAATTGGTACTGACCAATGCGATGAACGCACAGAGGACGACCGCACTCGCGTGCTGACCCTATCGACCAGTCTAAATGAGTCACAACTACTAAAATTCTAAAGAATATTTATCACATAAGTGCATTTCCAAAATTGAAGCCTGAGCCCCATAAGTCTTAAATATAATTTTCCTATAAATATCTCCAAATCGTAGACTTAA